CCTTCATAAGTCTGTCATCTCTCTTTCTTTCTGTTTTTTTTTTTTTTTTCATATTCCAATGACCGGAATCTTTAAAGCATGTCAAGAAAATTGTCAAATTCTGGAGTTGTCGTCGAAAACTGGAGTGGCCATCGGAGTCTCTCTAAAACTTGGGTTTGGCTGTCGGAATGTTCACTGAGTTCTGGGTTCATTGCTGGAAATTGAAAACCATCGCCGAAAACTGAAAATTCCGTCAGAATCTGGCTAAAAAACTTGAATTTTACCAAAAAAATTCAACTTAAAACTAAGAATTTCCTCGAAAAAATTCCACAAAAATTGTGAAAAAATTTTCCTTCGACAAAATTCGATTTTTCAAAATTATTTTCCACACCACTTCCCTCAGATTTAATAAAAACACATTTCGAATCTTCCAAAACTACCTCTAAAACAAAATTTCAACTAGAATCGATTTTTTTTTTTTTACTACAAACCTCAATTCACTCCGACCACTTTCTAATTCCTTCTCCCTGAAAACTGTGCGATCGTTATCTACAATTATAGCTAAATTATGTTCGTGATAACTCCTACAAAGTCATTAGATTTAAACTACTTTAAAGAGTATTCAACATTCTTTTATATTAAAAAAAAAAGAAAAAAAAAACTGGATAAAGTAGTAAAATCAAGTTACAAAATTAGATAAAATTTTATTCTATGTTCGAAAATTGAAATAGAAGTCCAAACTTACTGATTTACCACTCATTTTTTAAGAGCAAAATTTTACTATTGTATTTTCTAACTTAATTAAAAAATGATTAAAAATTAAAATATTCACAGTAATATTCTTTTATTTCTTCATTCAAAATATTCTTTTATCATTAACCTTTAACCATTTTTAAACCAAATTAAAATTTATAATAATAAAATTGCATCTATTCAGTAATAGAATTTCATCCATCACCTTATGTGGTTAAATTTGGACTTTATGTTTTAAAATTTTGAAATGAAGAAATCAAAGTAAGTAATACCAACTCAATTGTTTATTTTATATATGATTATAATAAATGTTATTATTACCATTAATAACTGTAGGGCTGATTCATAAATTATAAATATCATAAATTTGAAAGGTGATATAAGATATTGATTTAAAAATCACTTTAATGAAGCCTTGATTGGTTTAGTGGAAGCCAGAAAGCTTAATATTGTATAGATTTAATTATATAATTATATTTTAATTTGTTAATTATTTATTTATTGATATATTATATATAGATATAACATTTTATTATTATTATAATTTTTTTATATTTATAATTTCATAAAAATTATAGAATTTGGATTCTAAATTGCTTATTTTATATTTTATAAAAGACATTAACATCACCATTAATACTTATGGGACCAATCATAAGTTATAAATATCATAAATTTAATCAACGTATGTTAGTTTGAATGATAAGAAATTCTATTTTTTTTTAGTAAGACTTTGATTTTGAATCTTGTAAATTAAAAAAATAAGTTAGAGAGAGTTTGTTCTCTTATAGGTCTAATTCAATTCAATTTCAAATTAATCGAAAATTAAAATAATAATCGAATATCTAAAAATTTCAGATAAAAAAATTATAAATTTAAAAGGTAATATTATACTTATTAATTATTGGTCCAAAAATAAGAAACTTTTAGAAAGTAATTGACATGGTCCCCACCCATAAATAATGACAATTTTTATATTTTTAGATATTTAATTGTAGAAATGGACAATGAAAAATATGAATCTACCCCCAATGCACAAAGAAATGAAAAAGTAAATTTGAAAAATAAGAAACTATATGCAGTGGGGTCATTTTTGGGTAAATATCTTTAGTTTGAATCTTAATTATTAATATTTTTGTAAAAATAAATATTTATGAACATTATTGTTTTAAAATTTATTAATTACTATTATCTAAAAAATAATAAAAATCCCAATCAAATTCCATTTTGCTACAATTTTTATGTCCTTCCTTTTAAACAAACTTATTTTGAGATTTATTGCCTACATGAGACCCAAAAAACTGTCTTAATTGAAATGAAATATAAAAATTTGATAAAAAAATATATATTTTTTCCATAAAGCTTGTTTGAATTTCAATGCTCTTTTCCATGGTGTAGCATGAAGGAAAGAAACTTGCTTTTCATTTCATCTAATTTTTTATTATTTCTAGTAGTGGGCTCCACAATATTACATGTAGCTGAGCTCATATTACTTCTCATGACATGGCGAGATGCTATTGGTGGTCCCCACTTCCCAAGTCATCACCTGACCTTTTTAAAATTAAAAGATTTGCTTCTTCTCTCTTTTTTTTTTCTCACTTCAAGGGTAAATTTGTAATTTTGATTACACTTTTCAGAAAGAAGATTTTTTAAAGAATTTTGCTATTTGAATGAGAGTTTAATTATTTGATTAATATAATTATTTATAAAAAATACTTTCTCTTTCTTTTTTTTTAAATATATTAAAATTATATTTTTTAACATTTAAATTTTTTATATTTTAAAATTAATTTTTATGATATTTTTATTTTTAATATTAAAAATTATGAAATTTAAATTTTATAAAAAATTTCAATTTTAATATTAAATACATTAAAATTAAACTTTTATTTTAAAATTTTGTAAAAATCAATATAGTCTAAACGACGCAAAGAGTAATATTTAATATATTTAAAATTTAAATATTAATGTTGGTTTTTTTTATCTCTAAACAATGAAATCTTTTATAAAATAATTTCCTCTACTTTATAATTTTAATCCACAAAATGAAAAAAGTTTTTATTTTAAATTTTTATTTTCAATAAATCACATTTGCAGGCATTGGTAAATAGTGGTTACAATTAAATTTTTTTAAATTAAAATTTTACTTCAATTAAGTGAAACATCTTGATTAAGATAATTTTGATACATTGATTCAAAGATGGGATTTTGTATAAAATAATGATATAATTAAAAACTTTTTAATAGAAATATAGAATCCGATTCCTAAAAGTTGTAAGATTTTTTTATTCAATTTGATAAATTCAAATACATAATTTTCTTTATTAAAAATTTGATGAGAAACATATCATAAGCAATTATATCTAAGTTTTTAGGTTTTTTTTTTTTTATCAAAATCTTTCCTAAAAGATTAGAAGTATTTATTATTATTAAGCTTGTATGATTAATATTTTTATTTTTAAATAAAAATAAGTGGAAAAATCTATCAAACCAAACATAACTTGACAAAATAAATTAATACAAGATTCGCATTTTTAAAAGAAAATGCAAAGCATATTCTCATATGCATAAAAAATCTTATCTAAGTTTTGTCATCTCTTTAAATATAAATATTCCATTGACAATATATGAAAAATAGACTCATATAATATTTCTAATATGTTTATTTTTATTTTTTAAAGAAATACTATTAAATCTTAAGAGATAATATACAAATAAAGTTTCAAATTTTATTAATAAATGAAAATAAATTCATAATTTTTCATAGCATAAAATTAATATTATGAATTTTTATTTTATTTTAATTAGAATCTTACCAATATAAAATATTTAATATTTGATTAAAAAATTTTTAATTGAATGATTTAATATATAAAAATATTTATTTAGATAAATTGAATAATAAATATATTTAAAATTTGTTTTTAAGACTTTGTTAATTGAATTTCATTTATTATTTTGAAATATTTAATTTACCTTTAAATTCTTTACCTAAACAATATAATTAAAATAAGGTAAAAAATTATATTTTTTTTGAAAATTTTAATTTACCCATAAACTTTTATCTTATTTGATTGCTAAAAAAAATTATGTGCATATTTAAATACCAATTTTAATGATATATCAATTTATTAAAAAATAGATCTGATAATTTCAAACATAACACGATATACGATGCAAAAAAATCATATATATATTTTAAAAAAATGTGTTTCATGTTTATTAGTATTGACATAAATTTTAACACGACACGAATAATACATTTAATTTAATCTTGTTATACAAATACATGTTAAATTTCAACACGACACGAATAATACATTTAATTTAATTTTGTTATACAAATATATGTTAAATATATTTAATATATTTAACAAATTTTTTATATTTATTTTAATTTAATATAAAACATATAAAAATTATTTTAATTTTTAATCTTTTAATTATAATACTTAATTAGCTATTTAATTTCATATAAAATTATTTAAAACATTTAATTATGATATTCATTTAAAGATTATTGTAAATTATTTTTTATATTAATAATATAAAAACGATATAAATATTAATATTAATCTTATACATTATTATTTTATTTTTTAATATCTAATAATTTATCATTTTAAATTTGATACTAAAAATTAATATAGTTATATAATATAAATTAAAATTAATATATATTAAATATATATTAAATGAGTATTAAAATTTTTATTTTTTGAATATATTAGTATTTTTTATATTATTAATATATTAAATTTATTAAATAAATTATAGATAATTTGTAATTATTTATTATTTTAGTTATGTTCTTATATATATTTGTGTTAGTTGTATCTTTTTATATATATCCGTGTTAATAATATCTATTCATGTATATCTATATTATTTGTATTTATTTGTGTCATATTTTAAAAAATAAATTATATATATTATGTTATTTCACATATAACATATATATTAAATATGTTATATTCATATTTAAAATTTAAATATGATTTATAATTTATATTATATTTATATTTTAATAATTTATATTATTATATGTGATAAATATGACACGAAATATGACACCGTATTACGATTTATCATGCCTATTCAAAAGTCAATTTAAAAATTTATACTTTTTATTATATATAATAAATGAGCGAGGATTAATTATATATTTTTAATAAAATTCAAGTACTTATTTGGTATTAAGCCGAATCTTAATAAGTGTGTACTTTAGGTAAGCATTTGTCAGCAAAATCCTTTATTGTCTTAAAAAAAAAAAAAAAAAACAAAAAACAAAAACTGTCCTTTCTCTCTCTCATACCTCCCAAATTCCGCCATGGAAGCACCTTGAGAAACCCTAACTAAATCACTTCACATTCCTCTTTAAAACTTAAATAACCACCAAATGGGTTCTCATGTACCTTTCCAAGACCTCAATCTCTCGCCAGAACCACCCCAAGCCACCAGCTTCGCCACCACCTCCTCCTCCGTGACCACTTCCAGCACCACCACTTTCAATTTCTTAACACCCAAAATTGAACCAAAGCAAGAACCTTTCGACGAACCAGCACCGACCGACGTTGTTCACCAACAACAAAGCTTTCTCTTCTCTCTTTCCAATTCTACCCCTGACTTCCTTTCTAACCCCGAAACTACCCCTCCTTCTAACATATCCTCTTCCACCGACGACCAAAACGCCCTTTACACCGAATATTTCCGAATCTCCGAGCTCTTCCGCTCCGCTTTCGCCAAAAGAATACAAAAATACGGCGACGTCGAGGTCCTCGATCGGGATTCCCGGGCCATCGTATCCGTACCCGAAGAACCCCAACCAACCTCCGAAACCACCCCAACTAACACCTCCAACCCCGACCGAGCTCTCTCCGTTGTCGTTTCACGTCGCAGGGCTGGAAGATCCAATGAGCTGGTTCGGGTCACTAATTTGGGAATCGAAGACGAGAGGTATTTTCGGGATGCTGTCCGAAAAACCCGAATGATGTACGATGCCCTCCGCATTTTGGCCATTGTGGAGGAAGAAAAGAGGATGGGAACGGGAAGCGGGAGACGGGCTCGTGGCGATTTGAAGGCAGCCGCGGTGATGAGGGATCGAGGGCTGTGGTTAAATCGTGATAAAAGAATAGTGGGTGCAATCCCAGGTATTGAAATTGGTGACATATTCTTTTTCAGAATGGAGCTTTGTGTGCTGGGGTTACATGGACAAATTCAAGCTGGGATTGATTCGTTGCCTGCGGGCCAGAGCTCGAATGGAGAGCCAATTGCCACCAGCATTATTGTCTCAGGTGGGTACGAGGATGATCACGATGATGGTGACTCGATAATATATACTGGTCAGGGTGGACAAGATAAGTTTTCACGCCAATGTATGCATCAGAAGCTTGAAGCAGGGAACTTGGCACTAGAAAGGAGTATGCATTATGGAATTGAGGTAAGGGTGATTAGAGGGCTTAAATATGATAATAGAGTTTCAAGTAAAGTTTATGTTTATGATGGTTTATATAAGATTCTTGATTGTTGGTTTGATGTGGGGAAGTCTGGTTTTGGGGTTTATAAGTATAGGTTATCGAGAATGGATGGGCAACCTGAGATGGGTAGTTCGATAATGAGGTTTGCTGAGACTCTTAGGACTAGGCCTTTGTCCGCTAGGCCAATGGGGTATTTGACTCTTGATATTTCCATGAAAAAAGAGAAAGTTCCAGTCTTTCTTTATAATGATATTGATAGTGATCATGATCCTATGTATTATGATTATCTTGTGAACACTGTGTTTCCTCCATATGCATTTAGTCAGGTGAGTAATGGTACTGGATGTGACTGTGTTTCGGGTTGCATGGAAGGGTGCTTTTGTGCTATGAAGAATGGGGGTGATTTTGCTTATGATCATAATGGTCTTCTCTTGAGAGGGAAACCAGTGATATTTGAATGTGGAAATTTCTGTCAATGCCCACCGACTTGTCGGAATCGTGTTTCACAACATGGGTTGAGAAATAGGTTGGAAATATTTAGGTCAAGGGAAACGGGTTGGGGGGTGAGGTCCTTGGACTTGATTCAAGCAGGTGCTTTTATATGTGAATATACAGGGGTTGTTCTCACTAGGGAGCAAGCACAAGTTTTCACGATGAATGGTGATACTCTGATTTATCCCAGTCGCTTTTCCGAACGATGGGCAGAATGGGGGGATTTGTCTAAGATTTTTGCAGAATATGTGCATCCAACATATCCCTCAGTTCCACCTTTGGATTTTGCAATGGATGTATCAAGGATGAGAAATGTTGCTTGTTATATGAGCCATAGTTCCAGTCCAAATGTGCTGGTGCAGTATGTGTTGTATGATCATAATAACTTGATGTTCCCTCACCTTATGCTTTTTGCAATGGAGAATATTCCTCCTATGAGAGAGCTTAGCATAGACTATGGTGTGGCTGATGATTGGACTGGGAAACTCTCTATCTGTAGCTAAATATCGTAGAGTTTTTTGGATTTTGATGTGGTGCAGCAGGGCAGTGAGACATGATATGCTGAGGTGAGCTTAACTTCCTATTGCTTCAAGCATTTCCAGTCATATATCTTTATTAAAATCATAATAGTTTGTGGTGTAGACATCTTATATTTAAATATTGCTTTTGGCTCTCGTGCTTTCTTGTAGTCTAGTTGTTTGCCTTGCGACCTGTTTGTAGGAGCTAGGAATAGTATTCCTTGTGCAACTTCATGGTGTGGCATCAAGTAGTCAGCTATATAGACGAGGATGGAACACTTAACACTTGCAGTGCTAGATGAATCTTATTTCTGATGCTGTTGCTTATCTTCTAAATGCATGTTTTGTTTTCTAAAATGCAGTGTACTTTATTTTATGTAATCTGTATGTTCTACATCTCCTCTTGTCTTACCTGTCTAATTCTACCATATATGTCTGGCTGATTTCTATCAAATAATTCTTTTTTAATCGTTCCTGCTCATAAATTTTAAGAGCCAAAAATGGCATAAAGTTGTTATTTGGTTATTTCATTATCGGATATTTCCTTGGTCCAGCCAAATCCCTTGAGACTGATTGATCCTGCTGTTTTTGTACTCTTTTTTTGGTTTAGTTGTTCCAATTCGTTTTCTCTGATGGAGAGGGGGGGGGAGGGGGGGGAGGAAATAAGTGGTGTTATATAGGTTATTCAGTTATACAAGTAAGAGTTGGTGAGAAATTGGTTAGTCATCTAGAAGGGAGCAACTGGATTTTAGCAGAAGGCAGGTGAGAATAGATGTTGTGCAGTCTCTCCAGCACGTAGTCATAAAACTTAATAATATTATTAAATATAGGGTTTTGAATACTTGTCCTTATATTTAATGATTTTCAGCAAAGTGTTTCATAGATTAGGACAAACCTTCATTACTCACCATGTTAATAAAAAGCCATCGGCTTATATCTCATATTCATCGTGAAATATCAATTTATCACTTTTGCCTTGTTTCAATAACTACGATGACATATGAACAACAATTTCAATGATAATAATATGCTTCAAAGTGATTGAAAGGTGGCTTTGACCATGTCTCTGGCTGTTTTAGTGACTTGTAAGGTCATTAAAGCTAATTTGTCTATAGCGTTCTCTAAATCTTCTGGACTGTGGAATATTTATCTTATTTTCTGTTGGACATGATGCGGTGGTCATCATACACAAATGCTGTGAGCTTTAAAGCTGGCTCTGATGAATAATGGAAGGCTAAGATAGTTTATCAGTATATAAATATTTAGTTGTGGATGTGAAGTGGCTTTATTAAGTAAGAGACTGTAAGACGAGGCTGGAAATATGTGGATCGAATTAGTGATTGCAAGATTTGAATAGTCTGCTTATGCGGTGGTCATCATACACAATTCCTGCCATATTTATCGTATATGATTTGCATATTACAGAAATAAGCACTATGCTAAATGGTTGATAGTTTCCAGCATGGTAATATGCATAAGCTTATTGGTATAAGAAATTTGTATGTTAAATATTTGAGTTGTTCAAGATGAAAGCAATGTGGGGATATTGATGGATGGTGAATAAGTTTGATGTTGATGGGAAAAGAATTCCATATCATTGGATATCATAAATGCTAATGTATTTGAGCTAAAAAGTTATTGTTGTATGTAATATACATGTGTAAAGATATGGGACACATCATGTGCTTATATTTGGTTCTTTTCATGTTTACTATGTTGATGCAATAATTAGTTTTGCGCTGACAAAATAAGAAAATTGACTGTTCTAGGTTTAGTCTTGAAGGATTTGAAAGATCTAGTAGCTGAGATTTCTTCTGATGTGTTTTGTTTTTCTATGGGAATTAGATAAATTCATTGGATTTAATTAATAATTATGTTGAATGTTGAAATAAAAACTACAACCATCTAATGTGAAATTAGACCGGTTCTATAAAGGCTTTATGTCAATTAAATTTGAAGGTATCTTGTTTTTTTCACAACAAAACATGAAGTTTGGTTAGTTTATCATTCAATGGCCTTTCATCATTTGCAGAAAGGGAAGGGAAGGGAAGTGAAGTTGTAGGGGGTTGCTTTGATTACTGCACTTACATATGCTCCTTTGACAGGATTCAATGATAATGTCTTTATTGGAGTTTTTTTCTATTTGTTGGAATTGTTAAAAATATACTGTTTCTGATATGGATGAGCTCCAAGTCCATTTCTTTTTGCATTAGTTATGGACGAGCTCATTGGACATATCCAAGACAAGGTGCCATGGTGTATGTTATTTGCTGATGATATAGTCTTAGTTGCTGAAACTAGTGACGATCATAATGCGAAATTAGAATTATGGATGCACATGTTGGAGTCTTGAGGCTTTAAATTGAGTACATCTAAAATTGAATATATGGAATGTAAGTTTAGTAATCATAGGGAAGCGAGTGCTGGTGTGATTAAGCTGGATGGTTGGGTGGTACCGAATAGTAGTCAATTTTTATATTTGGAATCAATTATATAGAGTGATGTTGAGATTAAAAGGGATGTAAATCATAGGATTTAAGCAGGATGAGTGAGGTGGCGAAGTGCATTTGGCATGTTGTGTGATCACAACATGTCTTAAAAGTTAAAGGCGAAGTTGTATAAAACAATTGTAAGGCCTGCATTGTTACATGATACTGAGTGTTGGGTTGTTAAGAAACAAAAAGAAAAGAAAATAAACGTAGTTGAGATGAGGATGCTTAGATGGATGTGTGGTAAGACTAGAAGAGACAAAATTATAAATGAAGAGATTCGAGGAAAATTAGGGGTAGTCCAAATTGAGAAAAAAGATGAGAGAGTGCCGCTTGAGATGGTTTACACATGTGAACGTAGGCCTATTTGTGCACTAGTTAAGAGAAATGAGTTTCTGGATTTAGGAAAAACCAAACCTCCTAGAGGTAGACTATGAAAAACTTGGATGCATGTAATAAGAAATGATGAGGGTTAAAGAAGTAAATGAAAATATTGTTTTTTATAGAAATGAGTAGCGCAAGAAGATGCAAAGCAAAGACCCAACATGATTCCTTTTTTGGCCTTTCATACAACAGACCCTAGAGTTATGGGATATAAGGTTTAGCTTCTTCTTGTTGTATATTGTTTCTGATAACTTTTTATCAAATATATACCAAAATATATCTCCATGTTTGCATCGCCTTGACTTGGGCCGTGAACTCAAAAATATATTGACCTTGAGCCTGCTAATTATTGTCAACCTTTGCCTTTTAAAACAGCTACTGCTTGTCTTTCTAAATCATTATGAAGAGTACTGGCCATTAAGCCTTAGGTTACTTGTCCAAAAATGCTCTGGCGAATTCTATATTGCACTGTTCCCATATAAGCTTCTAGGCTATTTGAAGATGATTATTTTGTTTTGGAAAAATTCAACATTTTAATTACATGGGAAGGTGATTGTATTGCATCTTGGACAAATTCAACGTGTTCTGTTACTTTGGAAGGTGAGTGATCATAAAATGTATGATACCTGAGGTATGGAATAATTTAATGGGAAATATCCCATATTTGATTCTTTTTCCCTTTTTTAGCTTAAAAATGATAAAAGTTCATACCATATAGTTGGATTACTATAAGCTAATCCATTACGTACAGCATTCACATCAAGTGACCCATCTAGGAAAGTATAAGTTATATTTTTAGTATCCTTTTATGTAGTTCTTTGCTCATAATCTTTGGCTTGATAATTTGATATGTTTGTTTATTTGATTCTGATGCTGCAAGGTCGTGGGTTTGAAAATATTTATTTTACATAGCCGGTACTTTTATTCATGCCAAGAATACGAACAAAAGAGTGAAAGTTTTTGGATATTCTGCTGCCATTATAATACACTGCTAAATTTGTTGTAGCTGTTTTCTCATAATAAGTAATTGTTTATGTCCAGCTGTTCACTTCGATGAATTTCTGCAGGTGGGGATTAGACAACGCATTTACAACAGTTTTTCATCTGGTTCCTTGAATTTTTTGGTCCTCATCATTATCTTTGAATGTTGCTGCAAACATGACAATGATATCAGATAAGATTTGGCCTTTGTGCTACCGTAGTTTACGTTTTTCTTGCATTAGTTCTCTGGCGATTACAAAAGAAGGAAATTGATGAACGAAATTTTTGGGAGATTGTGGTTGCTCCTGCAGTGTACATCTGACAACAGTTTATGATCTTATTACTGGACCTTTGCAATGAAGCCTTTTTGTACATGCTTTTCGCGGCAAAAAATCACCTTATGCTTTTGTAAGCTTGTACTCATGACCCTAAACTCTTTAAAATTTTCTTTTTAAAAATTTTTCCCTCTACCCTTTTTGTATATATGAGGTCCAGAATGGACATGGTTGTACAGATTGTATCGGTGTATTTGTAGTTGAATGAAGCAAGTCCACGTTTATCTAATGTTTCTGTCTTTCTACCCTTCTTATAATTGGTGTATCTGCTACTGTTACTGTTTCATTACAGTTAATTGTAATAGCCCCGTTTTTCTTTTGCCCCTGCCTGAAGATAGCAAGGTGGATGGCTATGTGCAAGATTTTAATCTTTATTATTTTGACCTTTTTGGCAAAGGTCTGTTATAACTGGTGTGATAAACTCTTTTTGATTCATATTTACAAGCCTGAAATAAGAGTTTAATCGAGTCGATACAATGTGAAGTTGAACTCAAAATTTGATTTGAATTTGATGAGTTTTAATTTTCAAGAACTTGGCTCTAACTTTGATTCAAACTTTGAGTTTTTAAGTTTTAAGTTTGATTCAAGATAAAATTGAATTATTTGAATTCATTTAATTAAATTTATTTATCAAATAAAAAACACTTGATTTCAATTTTATATTCGATTATTTTTATTTGAACTCAGATTATATATATATATATATATATTAAAATATAAAAATTAAATTAAATTCGTGAGTTATTTAATCTGAATATTAATTTACTCTAATTCGATTTATTCAAGCTTTTTGATAAATTAAATTGCTCAAGCTCAAGTTTACCTTGATAATAATTGATTAAATTCAAATTTTATTTGAATAAAATTTAATTAGATTACGAACATTGATGTATTATACCTAATTAGATTAAGAACATTGATATATCATTTATAACCCTAGCATGAAATATACCACATAAGTTGATGAATACCTCACGGAAATAGGTTGTATACAGCAGATTAGTTTGAAAATATTCTGGTCATGAGTAATTCAGAAAGAAGTGAATAAATGTTAACAAGCATTATCATGGGGATGATAGGGTGCACTTTTGTTTGTTTACTATAATTTCTATGGTATCATGCCATCATGCATCTATCAAGAAGGAAGCTAAGTTTGTAAGATGAGAACCAGACGCACTATCACCATCTCCTGAAGCACTAGTCACAGTCTTGATTAGTTCAATGGTGTTTCATAAAACAGTTGAATATATCTACTTGTATAGGAGTAGTTCTCTTATAACTATATCAATTTGCCTATAATTGATGAATCCAACCCCAAATTTTACACATGAATGGGGGTTAAGCTTGAGAGGTGACTGTTCCATTTTTCTCCAGCTCCCTCTGTCTAGCTCGCTCCATCTTCCTTTTTCGCCATTCTTCTAGAGCTGCAAAATTTAAATACAAGTCAAACCACCTTCACAGCTCAAGATATAACTGGACATTGCAACAGAGTAACTAGCAGAAATAATTGACTCCACATGGAATTCCAGATTTAACATATCAAAGAAATAATTGAATGCGAACAAAATGACAATCATCCTGGCTGATGATGGTATATCATCAGCTGGCTGCTAAATACTAAATTTATAGAAGAGAAACAGCCAGTCACCTTTCAAGCTGGCAGCATCATTTATAGAACGGAAATCCTTTAATCTTTTAGAAAGATCAACTGCAGCAGTCTGTTTTGCGTCATTTGGTTGGATCGTTTCTGGTTCTGCATATGCCTCTTGCTGAATCTCCTTCACCTAAAATTAAGAAAGATTCAACCATGAAGAAAACCATTTTCTACATGTGCACATAGTTAACAAACATTCACAACTATTATTTGTTTCTAACAGAAATTCAAGGTTTAGCATCTATTGTATCCTTACTCTTTTTATCAGTTCCAAAGGTTGCATAGCAAGGCGTATCTCTTCAGATTCCTTAATATAATTGAAGTCAACTGCATTGGAAACATTAAACAACATGCTCTCCTTTGACAAAAACAATAATAGAAAGAGAAAATCATGAAAACAAAATGCGCATTTTTGTTTCTTCCGTATATTGTCCTGTTTAGAGTGAAAATGTCCCTTTGCATCTTCCAAACGGAAAGAGAAGCCCACCCAAAAGGGAGAGATGCAAGATGTCCTTTCCGACAATGGATTCTCTCAACAAAAGATTGATTTTCCTATAGATGGTTAAATTACAGGAGAAAGAATCTATTCTGATAGAAAAAGCCAAGAAAATGACAAAACTAAACTGAGGATGGATCTGGTGTAAATACTGTTGACTATTTGGGCTGAATCTTTACTGTAGCTACGATTGAAATTTCCAACTTCCAACAAATCTCCACCTTGGCTTAAAATATCACGAAGCCAATTTGTTGTAAGTTGGCTGAAAATTTGAGCCCAAATATTCAACATACCAACCCCATATTTGATTTGCAACACAATTGGTTGAACATTGGAAATGTGGAAGATGGCTGGCTTTGTTGGTTTGATGTTGGCTGACAAGAATTAAGATTGCCAATGTTGCACTATAAATGGGATGCTCAGAGTTTGAGCTTGGCAGGGGGAGTAAGATGAAATGAAGAAAGGAAAGAAAAAGAGAAGTTTTTGAATTGTTTCAACAGAGGTATTCCTCTAGGTAGTCTAATTTCTAAGTGGGTTACTTTGATCGGCTTCTTCTGCAACCACGTGGTTTGAACATTTAAGGTCCAAATCACAACAAATATACTGACCTCTAAAGCCAATTTATGAACTTATAAGTATTCAATTTCACATGATACAGCATGGTTTTTTCTTTATAAGAGAATTCAAACCTGAATGAAGGGTATCGGCTCAAATCTGTGTCGATAGTTGTTTCATTTGAGGTGATATGTATCCAGCAAAAAAGGACCATTGAAAATAGGAAGCATACAGGTGAAAGGAGGCACTTAATCCTAACCAAGGTGTAAATACTAAAGAAGCATTTGGTTTTGATGCCAAATCAAAACCCTAAAATATTGAAAAGAAGGTTCCCAAAATATGGATTGCAACCAAATACCTGCAACTTCCAATGCAAAAGCCACAGAATTCCCAAATCCATTAATCAACATCAACAGGCAACAAAATTCTAGTTGGAAGCAGGAAAGCTTTCGAAACTACTTTCTGAATGCATATATAAACCAAATTCAGTATTCAAAACCCCTAAACAATCCCAATTCACTAACAAAATCTTCCACTCTACTTCCATAATCAAAACCCTAAATCCCCAAAAAGAGAAAAATATCAAAGCTACTTATAAACAACAAGAACTAAATACAATCTAAATTAGACAAATACCCATGATCCCAAATCCCCCTTAAAACAACAAAAAACGCAGCTTCAACACAACAAGCAAAATTAACAACTACCCATGTTAGAAAAAAAATCTGATTCAAAATATCCAAGTCATTAAACCAATGGTTCAAACTGAAGAACGAGAAATAAAGAAAAAAAAAGAAAAAGAAAAGAAAAGCGGAACCTGAATTGGGTTGGTTTGAGGAGAGTTTGGTACGAGAAGAAGCAGAAGAAAGAATCCATTGAAGTAAGAAGAGAGCAGCTAAGACATTGAATATATTCAAAGCTATGGTCGCACTCTTGAAAGATAATATAGTCTCCATGAGTGCTGTATCTCCATCTCTTTCTCTTTCTCTTTCAGTCCTGTTCCTTTGTTTCTTTGAGTATCATCAGCTTCGAGCTTTATTCCTTTAGTTTATGGTTAGGCTCCTTGTAGGGACCTCGGTTGGTGAGTTTCACGCGCTGCCCATATCATTAGCGCGTGAAAGGCACTGACAGTAGATTCCGTGGACTTCTTTTTTCTCTGGAGTTTGGAGTTTTAATTTCTAATCAGTAGAGCCGAAACCTGCAAAAACCTCCAAAATCCAACTTCTAAAACTCCACTTGATTCAAAATTCCTCGACGTGGGGGTTTGTCCCTGATTGAGATACATTTTGCGAAATTAAAGCATATTTGTTTGTTTACATATCAATTTAGAAATTAAAAAAAAAAAAGGAAAAGATAAAGTGAAGATCTTAGCATAAAACTAGTGTAAAAACCTGCGTTAGACTGCGGGAGTTGTCAAAGAATTAAAATTTATAATCTAAACATAATGATAATTAATATAAAATTATAATAACTTGAGTTTTAAAGAGTGCTAATATAGAAAATGAGACAATTAAAAAAATACATCATTACAAATCCCTTCAAGAACTGAGTATTAAAGTGCAACTTTATGACTTAAACATATCTAGCTATAGTAGACATTTACAAACTTAACAATGTATGACAAGTAATACAAAAAGGTAATTTGCTATATTCGATTTGATGATGGAAAGCGACACAATTTTTGCCAATTGTGTTTCAATTCCTTCAAGAGCTTTGTGAATGGCAATAGCTACATACATAGACAAAGGGATCTCTCATTCCTTTTGCATGGCAGTAGAATACATATATAAACAAAAATCTAGATAACCACATACACACCATAGCACCCAAAATCCAACAAATCGTTTTCACTTCCTAGTAGTGTCGAAGTTTGAAAACCACATACATGCAAAACAGCATTGTAAACATACATAAACAAATCGTTTTCACTTCCTAGCTGGAATTGGTATCCTGCAAAACAGCAATTATTGCTATTACAAACCTCAAGGAACCACATACATACCATAGCATCCCTCAAAAACAATTTAATTTTTGTAACCATTGTAAATGGTAGAAATTTTTTTGACTACATTTAGAAAAATCCACAAACAAGACATCAACAAATTATTCCCACTTCCTAGAACATAAGAACATAAGATACAACATAATGTTAAGTGACAGACCAAATATAGTATTCAAATGCTACAAAAGAACCCTTGATTCATTCTACATTCAAAAGAAAAAAGAAAAAATTTTGAAAAACCCATGTGTCCATTTCTAATTATTCCATTAAAAAAGGCCACCAATTTTAAATTTAGAAACCAAATAACTCTACTATCATATGAATTCACAAAATTCAACCATCTATATGCAAAATCAGTTTAATAAGAAACCAGTTGAAAACCAATCATAAAACAACCAAATTTTAAAGTTTAAACAAAAGTAAAAAGGGAAAAATAGAAAACACAAAAAACATACCTTTTCAGTTAATCAATCTCACTGTCACCTCTTAATCAAACAAAAAGAAAATAAAAGCAACAACTCTACCATTTCATTGCAACATCAAAAAGGTAGACATCATATAGCTGAACCAAATAAAGATACCTAAAAAAAGGATATTAAACAAAAAAAAAAGAAAAGAAAAAAAATCAAAAACCAAAAACCAAAATTTCTTGCATCTAAGAACCACAGCCTAAATTTTCTTCCAACCAGAGAAGATTAAAAGATCATCAAAAATGAATTCTAGCACTGGAAAAGACAAATCTAAAACACAAAATGTGAAACCCATAAAGAGAGTAAGAGCAGATGAAAAAAAAAAAAAAGAAGCAATAACACCATTAAAATCAATGACTGTTTTTTTTCACACTGGGATGTGCTCAGTTGAGTAGGGGAATACACTAGAGACAGCCTCTTCACTTTAACCATGCTTAATGAGGTATCTTTTTGCAATTGTGGCAACTACAGCACCAAAAGGAAGAACTTCTTAATCGATCATAAAATATGGTGAGTGATCTGTGTGTATAGACCTCAAGGTCTCATTCCTTATGCCAATGTAGTAAAAGGCTGCCGGAACCACCTCCGAATAAAAAGAGAAGTCCTCGGCACCCATCATTGGAGGGAGCACCCTGAAATTTGGTGGTCCAAGCAAATTAGTAGCCACCTTCTTTACATGCTTATACATTCTGTCATCATTCACAGTTGGGGGAAAGATTGTATACTCTTTTTCAAAGAAGTCAACCGTTACCGAGCATCTAAAAACACTGGCTTGTTCCACTTGTGTTCCATGTCACGTGTGTTAGAAGGGGAAAACCAGGCTTGCAGTGGTGGATGCAAATATAAAAGTAAGGTGTTCATGAAACCCTTCAAAATTTGAAGAAAAATCTTAAATCTGTCACTGTATCCTTGAATTAGGATTAGAATCCAAAGTAAAAGCATGACAAACCTATTCAATTCTTTGAAGGAGGATGTAGAAGCTGGCATTGGAGAAAGCCCTGAAGGTACCTTCAATTATCACCGTGTCAGGGATCATATCAAAATTACCACAGTGTCAAGGATCATATCAAAATTACTGCCTCCATTGAATGAAGTTACAGACATAACCTTCATTACAGACAAGATGAAACTCAAGTTAGAAATATGCAAAAGGATAAAGAGTAAAAACAACATTAAAAGTGGAGAAAGACAAACCTGGGAGTCCAATGGATTTGATTCATGAGAAACAATTCCTTATGGGCTAATTACAACAACTGAAGTAGCCAAGATGGGGTCAACTGAGTGGTGAAGGTTCCCAGCAAGGCCTTTTCTTCCACTGATAACAGCTCTAAACAAGCCACACCGAGCAAGCAGAGGATCAGGCCTTGAGCCAATTATAGCTGTGGGGTGTTCATGAGAGATATGGATTGCAAAAATGGCCTTGACATTTTCCAGCGCCCCATCTCTACTCATCCCCTTAGCACCATTTCCTGCTTCCTCAACTGGCTAAAAGAGCAGTATTACCAGTTCCCTAAGACAGTCAAAGGATTAAATTTTCAAAAATAATTATTTTTTATAAATGAGGACAAAGCTTCAACATTATCAAACAATCAAAGTGGGTTTATTTCACTGTCTATAACCTCTTAAAAGATTTTTGCATTCCAACCAAGTTTTTTTTTTTTTTTTTTGGATTTTTGAATTCCAACCAAGTTTTGTTTAATTTTGAATTCCAACCAAGCAAAGTCCTTTTTATCATTTTATCCCTCCAAAATTTTCTTCAATAACAAAAACATATCATAATTCAGTTTTGCCTCTTAAAGCCCTAAATTCTCAGTTATTAACTATCAGGCTTTCACTTTAAACAACAAAACCAAACACCATTAAACCATATCCAAATTGAATGAATAAATACAATTTAAATAGCAAACCAACTAAAGAAATGAAAAAACAAAAAACCAAGTTCACAGAATAACTTGATTTTTGCCTAAAAGAAAGAAACCAATAATTCAACAGAGCATTTCAGATTAAAACTTACCTTTCCTTCTGAGCCCAAGCTAAAAATGTTTAGCTCATCTGGCCCAAAAAGAAGTGAGCTAATTGTAGAATCGGGTGCTGGCCACCTAGTGATTTGTAGACCGGCAGACATGTCTTTGATCAGTTAGAGTGCATGCATATTACATTATTGGTTTAGCACAAATGGAAAACTGCATAAAATGGGCACCCTTCTCCTTTCTTATTGATTGGTGGGCCCTTCAGCTAAAGGGTTGACTAGTCCATCAGGAAACAGAAATGACACAATCAACTAAGGGGGTTTTCTTAGAAAGGTATTATAGTAGACCTTGTAGCAGGTAAAACATAGGCGTGCTTAGTTAATGTGAAAATCATAATCACTTAACCAAAAATAATACACACAAAATATGAGGCCATAAAGAAAAGGATACTGAACATATGAATCATTCCATCAGTTGTAGAGAAAGCTAAAATCTTCCCATTGTGATTAAAGCATGGGAAAGTAATTGTAGGTGGATCTTCATAAAGAGGAAGGACTGTCTTCATTAAAGTTGAAGTCCATCAAGGCATAGATAATTTTTAAGAAAAGCTACTTATCATTAATAAGAAGTCTCTGTATATACAACTACATACCATAGCTTTCCATGTTTTCTTGTTCCATACAGTTAATGAAGCATACCCCATAGAATCAACAGAGTTTGAACCAAGCCTGAAAGGAGAATGACATTCAACTAATCTCATGCCCCAAAATACATTCAAATTACGTTATGTAACTCTCTTATGAGATCTGTGATGAAAGAATAAAAAAGCTACATTCAACATCCATTAAAACTATACCATAAACACTTCTTCAATTAAGCAAGTGACAGTGGGAATGCCGAAAGATCAACTGCTTATAGTTTTTCTATGTAAATTCCCTTAGAATAATAATGTGATATGCGATTCAACAAATTTATTAAATTGAAAAAAAGAAACGAAACTTTGATGGATGCACTAATTTCATATAAACTAAACACTAACACTTTGATATAACTCAATAGTAACTCTTAATGGTCAATTTCAGCCAAAAACTCTAACATTCTGCTTGGTTACCGAGAAAATTAAGGAAAATCCAAGTAAAAGAAAATTCCCCCTTTTTATCATTCACGCAGCGAAGTGAAGTGCAATTTAACATTTATAACTAAGAAACCCCAAATAGCATTTCAAAACAAAGGAAACTTCTCACTCATCGGCACTTATTTTTTCCAGAAATTTCTCAACAACCAAAAGAGAAATCCAATTTTACTATCGTCAAAAAAATGGGTGACAAATTGAAAATAAAAATTAAAAGGAAAAAATGGAGAAAAAACTTACAGATCAATGTTGATAAGAAAACCCTAAATTCATGATCGTCGACAGATTCCCGATTTCCCTTTGAAAGTTTAAGTGAGATTTAAAGCTAGATTTTTTTTTTGTTTTTGACTTTTTTTTTGGTTTGGATTTATGTTTTAATTTTATATAAATAATAAAGCAACCGTCAATGGCGCAAAATTAGAGAAAAGTGTCCATCGATTTTCATCCTTCACATTCTGATTAAAACCCTAAAAAGTCTTTTATCATAAGGTTACAATCATCTCTGCACATATGAATTTTTTTTCTAAAAAAATTACATGCAAAGCAAATAAAATAAGTATACTAAACATGCAAATAAAATTAAAAGGAGACAGGAAAATTACCCATTTACAGAGAATTCAATCTGTCATTACAGAAATCTTAGTTCAATTTTGATTTTTGCCTACTTTTTTAAACTGAAAGATTAAAAAAAAAAACCCAAAACCTGAATTTTAAGAATTCTTAATAAGTAAAATAATAATACTACTTATTCATGAAAAAGAGAGCAAAAAAGAACTGAAATTTGCAGAGAACATACAAAATAAAACAAATTGGAATTTGCAGGAACGATGCAAGAAAGATCAAACCTCAAAACCAAACGAAAAAATTTGCAAAGAACATAAAAAATCAAATATCTGATGTCTCAATTCGATAAAATTAAAAAAAAAAAAAAACAAATACTCACCTAAAAAAAACTGTTACCTCTTGTTGCACCTGTGCACCACTCTTGCTTTCTTCTTTCATATTTGAAAAAAAAATAAAAAAGAAAAATGTTTATCTTTGCTCACGGAAGAAAAGAAAAGAGAAGAAAAATTAAAAGAAAAAGTTTAAAAAACAATGAAAAAGCAATCGAGAATCTCAAAGGAAGAAATTTTTTATCCAAATTAACGTACCAATCATCCTCATCCTTTATTACATTGTTGAACTGTCCGTATTATAATCTATTGGGGACATGTGATGGATTGGATAACAAAAGTTTTAATTTAGAAAATTGATCATATACTAACAACATGCCCGCGCTTATTGCGGATTTAAATTTTTTACTTGTAATTAATAATATTAAATTTAATAAATTAGTAAGTATAATTTTATTTTTAATTTTTTAATAAAAATATATCAACTAATTTATGTATAATGTATACATTTAATTATCATAACTTATATAACAAATTAAATATAAATTTATTCTTTCAAATTTATTTAGTTAAAAATATTAAAATAGACAATTAAAAAACAAAATAAAAAAGCTAAAACTAAAAAAAAAAGAAAAAGAAAGCGACTTTATACTCGTTCTAACTACGATAAAATATGATAACATAGTTAAATAAAATTAAAATATTATTAAATTAATGTTAAATAATAAAACACTATTGAATAATATGTAATATTCTAAATTATTAAAATATATTAAATATAAAAATAATATTAAATAAATATTAAATTAAAAAATTTAAAAAATTTTATATAAATAATATCAAAAAATTATTTAAATAATATTTTATATTAAAATATTATTTAAATAATATAAATTTTTAAAATAATAATTTAATATTTAAATTTCAAACAACATAAAATATTTATAAAATTAATTAAATAATTTTAAAATATTAATAAATTAATATTTAACAGTAAAATATTAAATATTTTAATTTAAATTTATTATTAAAATATTATTAAATTAATATTTATTATAAAATATTACAAAATATTTAATTTTATTAAATAATGGTTATTAATATTAAATTAATATTGAATAATATTTAGTATTCATACATTAAGAAAATAATATTAGAATTTTTTTAAAATAATAATTTAATATTAATATGAAAATAAAATTAAAATATTATAAAATTAATTAAATAATATTAACAAACTATTAAATTAATATTAATATTAAAATATTATCAAAATAATATTTTATGTGAAATATTGTTAAATTAATATTTAATATGAAAAAATATGAAAAAATATTTTATATGAAATATTGTTAAATTAATATTTAATTAAAATATTGCTAAAATTAATATTTAAAACTTAATATTGAAATATTATTAAAATAATATTAAATACAAAAAATCATTAAATGAATATTTAGTGTAAAATATTATTAAAATGTTG